TTTTTTTTTTTTTTTTTTTTTGAGCCCACAAAAGGAGAACACTTATTATAATAATAGGCAAAGTTTCTATTCTACCTCATCAACACCACCTTCAAAATATGTTAAATTGGATATTATAAAAATAAATTATTGTTACTACATCTCTCTCATGCATTCCCCTTGACAAACGTGACATTAAAATATTCCGGGGCAATCATTATTATAATGTAACGATTAATATTATTCCTAAATTCCACATGTTGAAGACTATGGCCAATTATAAAATTAATACATAGATCATCACTAACGACTACTACCATAGGCTAAGAGTTTTATAATATACTATTAGTTGTAAAATAATTATCATTTATAAACCCTAATTATAATCTATAAATATAGGATCTCGATTCTCAATAAATACGTACAAATTGATGGACCTTTCTAATTTCCTTTCTTATACACACGTTATCAGTACGAAACTCTAAAAAGTTGAGGTGGAAAATCAATTTCTCTTCCGTTAAAAGAAATACAAAAAATTTGAACCAATTGAGTTCATAAAGGAACTCTTCTTCTCCGTTCAAACAAGAGAAGAATATATTATTCTTGATAAAGTATCGATCTAAATCAATATTTCCAAAGAATGTTGTTGCGTTATCGTTTATTAATATTTATGGAGAATATTATTTTGTTGCTACTGAATAAGCAAAATAAAAAAAAAAATGATCTTTCGTGATTTCTTAAATTTATTTTACTGGGTCATGTCTTAAGGTGGATATGAAAAAAATAAAAATAAAATAAAAAATCAGACTAAATTAATTTTATTTTACTTTGTTTAATTTTTGTATAAAATGCATTAAAGACTATAGTATGCTGTTAAATTTTAAAAAATATATGACTAAAAGGTATATTCAACCAATTTAAAATTATAACTATAATATAAACTTTATCGAAAAGGCTCCGAGTATATAAAACCGAATATCGTAACCAACAAATATTTCGGTGTCACATTATTGCAAATGAAGTCTAGCTACCAGCAAAAATACGGCGTGGAGCTATTGTTGACAAGTGGAACAAACTTTTGGTCTCTTAATTATCCACTACGTGCAAGCAACGTGCAATGCACGTTTGCTTAGTTTATATTTAATATTTTTGTTTAATAATTAATTTATTATTAGTAAAGATATAATTTTTTTTGGTTAATTAAGGGCGTGTCTGGGCGCGCTGCAAGGAGGAATGAAAATTGATTATGTTACCGTTTTTTTTCAAATCTACAGCCCTACAGTGAGAGAATTGGTCCAAAATTACGGCTCCCAACGGCATGAATTGTGTTGCCAACGGCTTGATTTCTGCTGAAAAGTAGAAACAGACACCCTATAAATAATTAATGATGTAATGTTTATGTAATTGATAAATAATTAGATGTGTGATTTTGATATTGTGATATAGGTTGGTGAGATTAAAGAAAATAAGCAAAAGTAGACAAATTTGGAGAAATTGCTAAATTGTAAGGGATCCAAAGTTCGGAGGCTAAAATGTAAATATTTAAAAGTTGTGCCGAATCTCACGATGAAGATTTGAGAGTGCTCGGAGTCAATTGGATAAAGGAAGATGTCAAGGGGATCAAATTTAGTCAAAAGATGATCACAAATCAATTTCCAACCGAAAAGTTATGCTCCGGTGTTTTAGTCTCATATTGAGACCTATTTTTGGCATAGGAAGTGATCGAATTGGAGAATGATGTCTGAATTAAAGTTGTAGCCAGATGAGTTAGCTTTCCAACGCATTTTGAATCGCCTCAATCGGACATCAGAATACAAAGTTATGATAAAAACATTGAAAGAAGGTGCAGCTGCCTGTTTAAAACAAGAAATTTCGTTACATAATCCGTTATATTGAGACCTATTTTTGGCATAGAAAGTGATCGAATTGGAGAATGATGTCTGAATCAAAGTTATAGCCAGATGAGTTAGCTTTCCAACGCATTTTGAATCGCCTCAATCGGACATCAGAATACAAAGTTATGATAAAAACATTGAAAGAAGGTGCAGCTGCCTGTTTAAAACAAGAAATTCCGTTACATAGTCCGTTATATTGAGACCTATTTTTGGCATATAAAGTGGTCGAATTGGAGAATGATGTCTGAACCAAAGTTGTAACCAAATGAGTTAGATTTCCAACGCATTTTGAATTGCCTCAATTGGATATCGGAATACAAAGTTATGATAAAAACATTGAAGGAAGGTGCAGCTGCCTGTTTAAAACAAAAAATTCTGTTACATAGTCGTTATATTGAGACATATTTTTGGCATAGAAAGTGATCGAATTGAAGAATGATGTATGAATCAAAGTTGTAGCCAGATGGGTTAGCTTTCCAACGCATTTTGAATCGCCTCAATCGAACATCAGAATACAAAGTTATGATAAAAATACTGAATGAAAGTGCAGCTGCCTGTTTAAAACAAGAAATTCCGTTACATAATCCGTTAAAACAACAAATTTTCCGTTAGTTTTTCCGTTAAACCAACAAATTCCGTTAAATAGGCACTTTTTATATATAGAAAGAAATGGAGTTTTCCATGGATCAAAGGCACTTATCGGACAAAAAATATAAATAAATAAATAAATAAAACATGAATCTAATTCCATCAGTTTAGGTGACACTAATGTGACTAAATAACATTACTTAAAAAACATTGGTAGGAATCTAATGCTCCAAAAAATATTAGTGAGAATTCGATGATTCGAATTTAACGTTCCTATATGGGCGATAATCTACTGCTCCAAAATTAAGGATTCCTATGCAAGATTCGTCCATAAAGATTGAGAGCACGAGATTAGGTTGAAAAGCATAATCGATAGACATTGAGACACTAAAGCATAGGGATGAAAAAAAACTCTACAAACCCGACACAACGGGGCGGGGATTACCCGCTTAATTGGATATTCGGGTCGGGGACTGGGCAGGTATGGGTAATGGGTACCCCGTCCGCCCCGCCCTGTTTATTTATTTATTTTAAGAATTCAATACTTTAAATGGAAGTTTCACTAGTTTAATAAAAAATGACAACTAAAATTATCTAAAAAAATATAAGAAATAATAAAAGTCTTAATTTACCAAATATATTTGAATAATTTAACTTTTAAAAAATTAAAAAATATATTATTATCCCACTTTAATGAATAAGGACAATAAAATGAATTATTAATTAAAAAAGGGATAGTAAATGGGGTAAGGGCCTTACCCCAGTTTTAACAGGTAAGGGGGTGGGAAATTACCTCGTGGGACTGGGGAGGCGCCCCAACCTCGTTGCCATCCCTACCAAAGCAAAGCAGCTGAAGGTAGTTTAGGTGGTCAACACTGCACACCTAGAGATTAGGTTGAATAGACACGACACGATACAAACATTTGATTTTTAAAAAAATGTAGAACACATATACTATTGGACCTCATTGAATTAAATTCTTCAAAATTTTGAATTCATGTTTCTTTTTTATAATTTTTACTATATGATAAACATGTCGAGCTCGACACTTGTTAGATGGGGATCTCTAAAGATCCCTCAAGAGTTAATAATTTGAAAAATGAATAATAGATAATACAACCACATGACTTATTGAATACATGTTGAAGGAGTGTCGAAATCCAACCCAACATGACACATCCAACATAGACACGCCGCCTAGTAGGAATGTCTTTGCATCAAAGGATGAAAGCTAGTGATAATAATTTATGGAGCTGAGAAAAGTTCAAAACTCACGGCCTAGTATAATTTGACTCAATTTCTCTTTGTATAGACCACAATTTTATGCGAGGCCAATAGTGTTTTGCATTCTTTGACCATGCAAAAATCCTTGCAACTTGTTTGATAAGAAATAAAATCTAAATTTTAATCTAAGTCGAAATCAACGATTAATTTCAATCGCATATTTTATAGAACCCACGTCTTTTCAACCACGCATTTCATCAACTTTTATCAAAATCTACTAAAAATCTAATTTTAATGCTCACCAAACAAGGGGCCAGTATTACCTTCTTTTTTTTTTTTTTTATCAATTT